CTCACTTCCCATCTCAGATGTAGAAAAAAATGTCCTTGGTCCCTACCCTATGCAATAATTCAGTGCATTACATTGAAACTCAAACGTGTGTTCTTTTCTCTTAAAAACTGCATTTTGAGACCAGCAGGTGGCATGCAGGTTAAGGCGGTGGGATCTCACATGGCCCACTGTGTGATCTGATTCTCAGACTCTGGCTAGAAAATCATGCTGAGTGCGTTTGTCCAAAGTCTAGAATGGAACAGAAGGGATCATGGCGGCCACTGCTCTTGGTGGGTGATCACTTTCCTTCTCTCCCTCATGAGCACACATGGCCTATAGCAAAATGAAAAGGGAAAAAACTGCATCTCTCATTGTAGGAGAGGACAGTTACCCAGCTCTGCTTTTTGGTTTTAGAACTATTTCTACATGCTTTTCTTATTTTTTAGTTGTCAAAGTGTATGTACTCACCAGAAAGACAGAAAGACAGACAGAGGGGGAGGGAGAAAGCGCTCTCAGTGGAGTGCGGTCAGGCTGCATTCCCTTTTCCGTTGCTCCATTCTGTCAGGATTTTAAGCACTCGTGCATGTGCCCGGCGTGTTTTTCAAGATGTTGGGGGCAGGATTTGAACAGTGGTCAACCACATGGGATCCAGCTGCCTTAACCACTAGGCTGTGGCCAGTCCTACCTGCTCTTGTTTTTGTTTTGTTTTGTTTTGTTTGTTTTAATTTCTAAATAATTATTTATTTAATTTTATTTCTTCTCCCTCTTCCTCTTTCTCCTCTTCTTCTTCCTTTTCCTCTTCTTTTTCCTCTTCCTCTTCTTCCTCCTCTTCCTCTTTTTCCTTTTCCTCCCCTCTTCTTCTCCTCCTCTTCTTCCTCTTCTTCTCCTCTTCTTCCTCCTCCTCTTCCTCTCTTCTTTCTTCTTTCTTCTTTCTTCTTTCTTCTTTCTTCTTTCTTCTTTCTTCTTCTTCTTTCTTCTTCTTCTGTTTCATCAAAGAGAAACACACAGAGAAAGCAAAAGAGAGCGAGAAAGCAAGTTGCCAGGTCCAGGACTCAAACCGCTATTGGCCATTGTGGGAGTCCAGTGCCCTAACCACCATACCACCTGCAGGCCCCACTTGCTGTTTTTTTTTTGTTTGTTTGTTTTTTGTTTGTTTGTTTGTTTTTAAGAGAGAGATTTTGCTATAGGGCATGTGCGTTTGCTGGAGAGACAGAGAGAGAAAGAGGACTTGCCAAAGAGACAAGGAGAGACAGAGAGGGAGAAATCACCCCCCTCCAGGGGAATTGCCACACCGCAATCCTTTCTCCTCTATTATTCTCTTGGAATCCTGGGCGTGCTTGCACACATGCCCAGCGCGAGTTTCAAGTCCCTGGGTCTGGGACTCAAACTGCAGATGACTACGTGGGAGTCCAACGATATAACCATTACGCAATCAGCTGGCCCCCACACTTGCTCCTCTTTTAATGAAATTTGCTTTTCTGTCCAGAGTAAGAAACTCTGGTCTGTATAACAATGTGATTATCCTCAGAAACACAGGCTAGCTTGATCAAAGGCTGTGTTCTGGTCAGAGATGGATTTACTATGAAGCTAGTGATACCTACACTTTAAGACCCCCTCACGTGCACAGGACTCTTTTGTATTTGCAATGTTGAATCTTTTTTTAGAAAAAGAAGCCCTCCAGGTGGTCTTAGCCTCAGGCTTCTCAAAACCTGGTTCTGAGGGGCTTCTGTGTAAGGGCTTTGTGATAGAGGAATCAGGACTAAAGACAATGTTGGATGAACAGGGCAGATGGAAGGCAGGAAGGTTAGCAATATTTGGAAACAATTGCAGCATCGCTTTCAGGATGTTAGTAGTTCAATTACAGTGATACTTGTTCAGTAATACTTATCCAAATTAAAAGCAATTTAGAGGGGGCCAGCGGGTAGCATGGTGGTTAAGGTGCCAAACTCCTGCATGGCTAACCACAGTTCAAGTCTTGGACCTGGCAGCTTGGTTTCTCACTTTCTCTCTCTCTCTCTCTTGTTCTCTCTCTCTCTTGTTCTCTCTCTCTCTTGCACATGCTTCCTAGCAAATTGAAAAATAGTAATAAATAAACTTAAACAATTCTAAAAAAGGCAATTTAGAAGTAAAAAAATGTAATCTATCATGTACTATGTCCTCTTTTCCAATAAAGAGTTGTTTTCTGTATAAACAAACTAAAAGTCTTTGGGCTAGCTTGTGGCATAGTGGTTAAAGAGGCCACATCCCACCTGGCTGACTGTGTGGTTTGAGTCCTGGATCAGCAGCTTGGAGAACTGTGTGTGTGTGTGTGCTCCAAATCCCAAGAAAAGAATGGAGGAGAAGGGATGCAGTGTGGTCATCCCCTTGGGGAGTGATTTCTTGCTTACTCTCTCTCTCTGTGTCTCTCTATAGGCACATGTCCTATAGCAAAATTTAAAAAGCAAAAATAAAAAAACTAACATCCATTCTCACTAGGCTCCTCTTTAAGTGAAGCTATTGAAGGGGAGTCAGTGATACGCGGACTTTCAGACCCTGAGGTTCTGAGGGAACTTTGCTATTAAGACTCAGATATGTCTTGTCAATTTTTTTTTTAAGTTTGTTTATTTATCTCTTCTAGAAGAGGGAGGCGCGGAGAGAGAGAGACTCCCCATAGGGTCTTTATGCTGCAACCCCCGTCCAACCCCCAGCTCCAGCTAGTCCTAGATCAGGGACACCCACCTGCCTAGCACATAGAGGACCGTCTCCAGATGTGAACCTGCAACTTCACCTGTGGGTCAGGTCAGAGTTTTACCACCGCACAGCATCCGCCCCCCTCCTTACCAACTCTTCACCTTCTTTCCTCTCTAGACTTTTTAGCCCTTTTCTCCAGAGTGTCTTTTACTGTTTGCTTTCACAATAATTATTCTGTTAACAGTAGCAGCGGCATTGCCTAATGGCTCAACACGGTTTTTCCTCTGTGGGTGCTCTGAGCTCTCCTTGTTTTACAGATGAGGAAACAGTCTGAGGGAGTTCAGTCACTTGCTGAATGTCACAGAGAATAGAAAGTGATAGAGCTGAGGGACCAGCAGTTAGCGTAATGGCTATGTCGCTGGACTCCCACGTAGTCGACCGTGGTTCGAGTCCCGGACCTGGTGGCTTAAAACTCAGGCTGGGCGCGTGTATGTGCGTGCCCAAGATCCCGAGAGGAGAATGGAGGAGAAGGGATTGCGTCATGGCCATCCCCCCGTGGGGGTGATTTCTCGCTCTCTGTCTCTCTGTCTCTGTCTGTCTGGCGAGCACACGTGCCCTATAGCAAAAACCTCTCAAAAAAAAAAAAAAGAAAGAGAGTGATAGAGCTGAGACTCCAAACTGTGTGGTCCACGGTCGCTCCTTGTTTTGTTCCATCTTTATGCTGTCAATCAGATATCTTGGAATGATAATCTAAAAAAAAAAAAATCCCAAAACAAAGTACTAACGTACTAAGGTTTGGAAGTACTCTTAAAAAAAATAAAAAAAAGAAAGAAAGAAAGCATAGCTTTTTTTTGAGAAGTTTTTGCTATAGGGCTCATGTGATGGCCTGAAAGACAGAGAGAGACAGAGAGGCACAAAGCGAGAAATCACCCCACAGGGGGGATGGCCACGCCGCAGTCTCTTCTCCTCCATTCTCCTCTCCGGATCTTGGGCACACACGCACACGCGCCCGGCGTGAGTTTAAGCCACTGGGTCTGGAACTCAAACCGCGGTCGACTACATGGGAGTCCAACGACAGCCATTACGCCAATAGCTGGTCCCCACTCCTTTTTTTGAGGGGGTAACCTTTTTCTTTTAATGAATAGTGAGTAGACAGGTATTTGCTTTATTGTTATTCTTTATAATCTATATGCATCTCAGTCTTTTTATATCTACAAAATATTGTAAAAGATTTAGAAGATAATAGTTTTATGCAATATGAAATACAGTTTTTATTAATATAATTAATGTAATTCTAGGAGATAGGTACAGAGCAAGGACAAAAAGAAACCTGGCCATGGGGCTAGCAGGTGGTGTGGAGGTCAGGTGCTGGACCCCACATGGCTCTCTTCGCATTTGAGGCCTGGATTCTGGGCATGTGTGCATGCATACCCAGAATCCTGAGGGGAGAGTGGAGGAGAAGGGATTGTGACATGGTCATCCCCCGGGGGTGATTTCTCTCCTTACCCCCCTTCCTCTGACGAGTGCATACATCCTATACGCGCCCCCCCCAAAAAAAAAAAAAAAAAAAAAAACAGGCCAGGCAGTGGCATTGTGATTAAGGAGGCTGGATATCAAATGGCTGACTATGTAGTTCGAGTCCCAGACCAAGTGGCTTGAAAAAACACACTGTGTGTGTGCATGCACATACCAAAATCCCAAGAGGAAAATGGAGAAGAAGGAATTGTTGTGTGGCCCTCTAAGGGGGGATGCTTTCTCTCTCTCTCTCCCTCTCTCTCTCTCTCTCTATCTCTCTCCAGTGAGCACACATACCCTCTAGCAAATTAAACAAAACAAAAGATAAAAAATAAAAATAAAAATACTATCACCTAGACCCACACATTAAGCGCTAATGATCTCACAGTATTCTTTATTCTTATATACAGAAAGGATAGATAGCTAGACAGGCAATGATTAAGAAGGTCTCAGCTACCTAGTGTGTATAACAAAACGTCCTGCAACTTAGCGGCACTTAACACAAGCCAGTTCTTCACTCAGGCCTACAGACTCTACAGTGCTTTGTAAAAGACTTGCTACTCCAGCCAGTTTTAGAACTGCCCCCAAACATGGGGCCTTTGGGGGGCTCTTCTGGGCATGCTCTTGTTACCTGATTTCAGTGGCCTCTGGCAGACCAGCTATTGTTCGGTATCCTCCAGCACACGTGGTCAGCGTTGTTCGGTTTCTCCCTGCTTTGCACTGCTTTGTCCTGGCTTCGCAGGCACTTAGTGAAGACTGTGAACCAGTGCGGCGAGGCCTGGTGCCTTTTGTGGGCCTGGCTGCTTAGCACTGATTCCTCTCTCTGCCCTGCGTAGGTACTTGGCTCGAGTAGGGGACCTCGAAGCTACTGACACTGAAGACCCAAACCTGAGTTACGGCCTAGTTGTGGACTGTGGCAGCAGCGGCTCCCGGATCTTCGTTTACTTCTGGCCCAGACATAATGGGAACCCCCATGACTTGCTGGACATCAAACAGATGAGAGATCGCAACAGCCAGCCAGTGGTTAAAAAAATCAAGCCAGGTACTAACAAGGACATATTTCATTGTCAATTTCTTGTATCTCCTGCAGGCATGGGTGAGAGAAAGCAAGCCACCCTCTACTTCTTGAGAGTCTGGGTAATGGGAGGGATATCTCATTTATTGTCCATTTTCTCGTCTCAGGCCAGTAAATGTGTAGGACCTTCTGGAGACCTTTGCAGGTATCAGTTTTCTGAGCCAATGTGATCTATTTTCTTTTTAAAAAGAAATTTTTGCTATAGGGCACATTCACTTGTTGGAAAGACAGAGACTGACAGAGATACAAAAAGTGAGAAATCACCCCCAGGGAGCTGGTCACGCTGCAATCCCTGCTCCTCCATTTTCCTCACAGGATTTTAGGCATGCACGCACAAGTGCCCAGTGTGAGTTTTAAGCTGCCAGGTCCGGGATTCAAACCCTGGCTGACTTCGTGGGAGTTTAGCAACGGAACCATTATGCCATCTGCTGGTCTCTGTGATCTGCTTTTTAAAGAAAACATTCTGTCTCCTTTAAGGAATCTCTGCAATGGCAGACACTCCAGAACATGCCAGCGATTACCTTCGTCCTCTGCTGAGCTTTGCTGCTGCGCACGTGCCTGTGAAGAAGCACAAGGAGACCCCCCTGTACATCCTGTGCACAGCAGGCATGCGGCTTCTCCCTGAAAGGTGAGACGTGGGGTCTGAACCCCAGGAGACAGGTGGCACAGGAGTTGAAAGGCCAGGTCCAGGCAGCATCCTCCGAGTTCCCTGGCCTGGAGGTGGGATGCTCAGTTACCTGAAATAATTGAAATCAGCCTGTCAAAGAGGTGGTGGCGCTCCCGTTTCATTGTAGCATTATTCACGGTAGCCAAGGGTGGGAGCAAATGTCCACTGACAGATGAATGGGTAAAGAAAACGTGCTGTGTAAGTACTGGGGCGAGCCGTGTAGCCTCATGTGGCTCATGGTCTGGAGATGGAGCGCCATGCAGAGTTCACAGGGCACACTAGACAACTCCTTGCTCCGAGGCAGAGCGGGGCCAGCAGTGTACCCCACCATTGCAGTTAGTCACTCACACCGTCATGTCACTGGCTTCTTTGGGATCACTATCAATCCGAGGTGGCCATAGTGATCCTTAGTTTGGAGTGAGGATTGGGAGTGGGGTTGATGGTGATAAATTTGTATCGCGAGGCACCTAGAGGGAGAGCGTCCTTACAGAAAGGTCATGGGAGGGTCACTGGAGGAACTGGAAACCTAGGGCTGGCAGGAGGGCCCTGGTAGAAAGCCTGCCTCTCTGTACCTTCATGTGGGTCCCTGGTGATGCCTGGTGAGTCCCTCCTGCTCGCTGCTACTGCAGAGGTCATTGTCTGTTGCTGTAGACCAGTTTTCTCAACCTTGGCCGGTTAAGTCTTTCTCCACTTGACCTTGGCAATTCAGCCTGGCATCTTGCCACCTGATTTCTCCTCCTGCATTAGAAGAAGAAGTGAAGGAAGAAGAGGATATATTTAGGTCAGATCTCTGTGCTTCTTTTTTTCTTTTGGAGGTTTTTTTTTTGCCATAGGGCGCGTACGCTTGCCAGACAGAGAGAGACAGAGACAGAAAGCGAGAAATCACCCCCCAGGGGGATGGCCACACCGCAGTCTCTTCTCCACTCTCTTCTCGGGATCCTGGGCACGCACACACACGCCCGGCGTGAGTTTAAGCCACGGGTTCCGGGACTCGAATTGCAGTCAACTACATGGGAATCCAGCGATATAGCCATTATGCTAACTGCTGGTCCCAAGATCTCTGCTTCTTTATGGTTTCTTTTCTTTCTTTCTTTTTTTTTTTTTTTAAAGTATTGTTTTACTTATTTATTTTTTTATTTTAATTTGACCAGAGAGGGACAAGGGCAGGGGGGAGTAAGAAAGCAAGCCGCCAGGTCTGGGACTTGAACCGCTGTTAACCATGGGGGAGTTCAGGGCCCTTAACCACCATGCCACCTGTTGGCCCTGCTTCTTTATGATTTCTTACCTTTGATGCTTTCTACATCAGTCAATATTATCAATGTGAGATTGGGTGAACTTCCTGATTTTTTTCTTTATTATTTTCTTAATTGCCAAAAGGTCCCTGTGTGCTTGCTGGAGAAAGACAGACAGACAGACAGACAGAGAGAGAGAGAGAGAGAGAGAGAAAGCACCCCCAGTGGAGTCCAGTCATGCTGCAGTCCCTCTTCCTCCATTTCTGCACCCTGTCAGACAAACGTGCCTCGTGTGGTTTGTAAACTGCCGGGGCTGAGATTTGAACTGCAGTTGGCCATGTGGGATCTGGCTCCTAATACCACTAGGCTACAGGGCTGACCCTGTACTTATTATTATTATTATTTTTTAATTTGCTATTGGGTATGTATACTCACTGTGGGATGGAGGAGAGTAAGAAACCACTCCTCCGGAAGATGGCCACATTGCAGCCCTTTCTCCTCCATTCTCTTCTCGGGACTTTGGGTACACGCATGTGCCCAGCTGTTTCTTAAGCCCCTGGGTCCAGGACTCGAACTGTCAGCCATGTGGGATCCAGCTGCCTCCCCGACCAGGCCATGGGCTGGCCCTTTACCCATTTGTCTGTCAGTGGACGTTTAAATTGTTTTCATATCTTGGCTATTGTGAATATTGCTGCAGTGGACAGGAGTGTTTCTCTCTGAGATCCCGATTTCAGTCAGTTTGGGTAAATACCCATAGGTGGGATTGCTGAGTCATACGGTAGTTCTAGTTTTCCTTTTCTGAGGAAACTCCATACGGCTGCACTATTTTTGCATTCCCCCCAGCAGTGTGCAGGGGTTCTAGTTTCTCCCTAGCCTCACCAGGACTTGTCTTTTGTATTTTTGGTCATAGCCATCCTGACAGGTGTGTGGTTTTGATTTGCATTTCTCTGATGACTAGTGATGTTTGCATTTTTTCATATCTTCGTTGACTGAAATATTCATATTCAAATACCTACTGGCTATTTGTATTTCCTCTCTGAGAATTGGCCGTTTAAGTTCTTAGCCTCTCCTTTTTTTTTGTAGAGGTTTTTGCCTCAGCGTGCGTGTGCTGGCTGGAGAGAGACAGAGACAGTGAGAGGGAAAGTGAGAAGTCACCCCCCTGGGAGGAGGGCCATGCTGCAGTCTCTTCTCCACTCTTGTCCCGGGATCTTGGATCTCCAGTGTCTGGGCCCCTGGTTCTTTTTCAGATGGGGTCTCACTGTGGTGGCCAGGCCAGCCCTGAGGTTGAAGTCCTCCTGCCTCAGGAGTACAGGCATGCTCCACCATGCCCAGCTTTTAGGTGGGACTGGGATCCTGCCTGGGCCTCCTACGTGGCCTTGCTCTGTGGAGCATGGAGTCTTAGCAGCATGTGCCACTGGGACTGAGCTTATTTAGGTCAGATCTCTGTAAAAAGCTTACTTTTTATATCCGGCCTTTTCTTTCTTTAAAACAGTATCATAAACCTCAGCCATGCACAAAGGTCCCCAGGCTGCTTGTGCCAGGTATGGCAGAAATGTTAACATGGCAGTGCTTTTTTCAGTGGGCTTCTATCCTGCAGCTCAGACATATGGTTTCTGGCTTACTGTCTGGTTTACTGTTGAGAAGCAGATTATTCAGATAAGCAGCTGTCAGTATGAGAGACCTTTTAGTTCTTTGTTTATTTCCCAATAAATCTTGGTCTTTTAAATATGTGCTTTGTTTTTACATATGTTTAAAATCAAACTTTAAATCCTCCAGCTACAACTTTATATAATTAGAGGATAATTTTTAAAATAAACAAAACAAAAAACCTTCTACTTCACTATCAAAACTGTTCCGGAGCCAGCAGGTAGCTTGTGTGATTAAGGTGCTGAACTCCCATGTGGCTGACAGGTTCAAGTCCCAGACCTGCCGGCTTACTTTCTCGTTTTCTCCCTCTCTCTGTTTCTCTCTGGTCAAATTTTAAAAGTAATAATGATAAGTAAAATTAAATAAAATAATTATTTTAAAAAACCAAAATAAAAAAACCCTTTATTTTGTCACAATCCTTTCTCTGTACATTTATATAATGTACAGAGTCTACATTATATATATAGACTCTGTCTACAAAGTTGTAACCATTCTGTGCATGTGGGCCAGTAGATGGTGTGGTGGTTCAGGGCACTGGGTCCCACATGTCCAACCGCAGTTCAAGTCCTGGACCTGGTGGTTTACTTTTTCACTTTCCCTCTCTCGCTCTCTCACTTCGTGCCTCTCTGGTCAAAATAAAAAATAAGTAAATAAATAAATAAAGTTAAAGAAAATAATTCTTTATAAAAATCATTTTGTGCAGGCAATTTAGAATTTTTTTACTTTTGATGTTTAAAGTGTTATTTCTTTCTGTCATGAGAGAGGGCATGTAGAAGAGAGCATAGCAGAGATAGATAGGCAGCCCCTCACACCACAGTCCCCTCTCCCTAGTCCTCCAGCTAGTCCAGCTCAGGCTGACTCAGGGTGCAGACCCACAGTTGGCCATGTGGCTTCCTGCCCTTCTTCCGGTCAGTACTGTGCCACCACAGCTGGGCCAGCGTATTTCCATCATTCACAATTTTAGACACTCTGGGGAAAATACAGATGGTCGCCAGGGGTGGAGCAGGTGCCATATCATGAAGTCTGTGAACGGCCTGAAGTCTCATAATCAAGGAGAGCCACAGAAAAAGCTGATTTGAAGATCCAAAAGGCAGAGCTGGCTACAGGGCCGAGCAGAGGAAGCTGGTTGGTATTTGAGCACCTTTTGTTTGTCTGGAGCGAAAGAGAATTACCTCATCTCCCGGCACTGCCAGCCTTGCCTCTGTCGAAGAAGTTCCCATCCAAACAAAACTGGGGGGCTAAGATGTTAGCTGTCCGTGTGGAAGCTCAGCGCTATTAGTACTTATTTTATCTAAATGGTTTTTAAATCACTTGCCTCTTCATCTCTTTTAACTTCTTTTCTGATCACCTTTGTCAATAATGCATACATCTGTTCTTGGCTTATAAAATCATCGCTACCTCCAAGGCTAAGCTACTTGTTGACATAATGTGACTCATGGCAGGAACCTGTTTTGTATGAATAATGCTTTGCTAATTTATTAGCATTTGTGAGTAATGTTCAAAATTGGGTTGAATCACCTTTACTGTATCTTTTTTTTTCTTTTTTTTGGAGAGGTTTTTGCTATAGGGCGCGTGCGCTCGCAAGGAAGACAGAGAGAGACAGAAAGACAGAAAGTGAGAAATCACCCCCTGGGGGTGATGGCCATGCCGCAATCCCTTCTCCTCCATTCTCCTCTCGGGATCTTGGGCACGCACGCACACGTACCCGGCATGAGTTTAAGCCACCGGGTCTGGGACTCAAACCGTGGTAGACTATGTGGGAGTCCAGCGACATAGCCATTACACTAACTGCTGGTCCCAACCTGTACTGTATCTTGACTTTATTAACACTTAGTTATATTTCTTTCTCAAAGACCTTTACTAACAACCCCCCCCCTTGGTTATTTTATTTCATGATGGATTCTGCTCTTAAAAATTACAAACGGGGCCAGATGGTGGGGCAGCAGTGATACAGTTGGATGTACATGGGAAGGCCCAGGGTTCATGTTCTGAGACTTCCATGAACACACTGGATGTGTTGCCTATGGCTGTGACCTGGGGCTGGCTGAGACTAGAGATGGGTTACAGACTGAAGATTCT